AGATGTAAAATCTGTCATATAACTCTTGGCACTAGGCATGGTATTCTGTGTTTAGTCAATTAAAAAAAATTAAACTTCAGGAAGTATCCATTTGATTGCCCCTCCCCCTTCCATCATTTTCTTTCTTCCTGACACTTGTTTTGCCAACTGTTCAGCTTTGGCATCAATACAAGGAAATCTCTGGTGGAAGGTTACAACCAAAATACCTACTTCCTGGATTTGAAGCCAAACTTTTTTGTTAGATATCGTTAGTTTAGATTTCAAATTAATTTTTTTAAAGTTTATTTTGAACACAGACTTCTACATTTTAACTGTGAAAAAGGCAGTGTAATGTGTAAAATCATACTGGAGCTGTTGATAGAGCAACTTAAGTGTTTGGAGGGCATGTTAAAACTTTTTGAAGGCCATTTATAGAGGACATTTTGATGCACATTTAAATGCATGCTGGTTTTGATTTTTAGAAAGAGAAACTAGCTGAAGTGTATCTGGTTGATGACTTAGTTGAACATGATCTGATATGATAGCATCATGTGAAACACCATGTTGTGGCAGCTCATGGAACCAGGCAAAATAACAATGAATGATAGAAAGAGATAGGGGAGAGTGATACCCTGTTCACGCAACAGGCATTTATTTGGATAAATATAAATTAGATCAGGATTCTGATATAAATGTGGATGTGTGAATGCATGAAAATTTCTGTTAACTGTTTTCTCAAAATACTGCAAGCTGGTTGGATTTCTGACAGTAATTGGAATAACTCACCACAACTATCAGTAGGTCAAGGTCTTACTGTGCATTTGCACACAAATGAGCAGGGAAACAAACTTTTGCTCTTTTGCTCTATAAGTGTGACTGCCAAGATTGCTTCAATGTCTTTTGAGTTATATTTCATGTTTCAAATAAAAACAGATGGCCAAAAAGCAGTACAAGTAGGGCAGTAAATGGAACCATATTTTTGTGTGCACTGTTGTCCCATGCAGTGCAGATGGGACTGTTCAATCAGGAAGTGGAACCTGGATTTTCAGCGTGGGATTCAGTTTTGCTTTGCTGTGTGTGCACAGGGAAAGGAATCAAATTTTTCATCTGAAATTTCGAATTTGAAAAATCCTTTGATTATAAAGATGATAGTGTGAATGAGGTATGAGAGGGTATAGTACTTTGCAACTCAAGTGACTTCTTAAATTTGCAAGTGCACCAACTGGTCCTAGTCATACTGTTTCTTCCAGTGAACTCTGTAAATTAATCCCACAGATGAAGCTACCTGTCTACAGCATTGTCCCCCTCTCCATTGAGCCTTTCATGACACTACATACCTGCTGAGCCCTGGAGACAGACATGGCTGAAAGAAAGGACTCATTTTCAAGTATAATTAGCTCCTTTAGGCCCTGATAAATGCTATTAGGATACAAAAATGACAGATTTGTTGCAGTCTCAGCACAAGATTTTTCTCCTGAGATTCTAGTTGAAAATTGAAGCAGTTAAAATTTTGATTTCAGCAATTGTAGGAATTTCAATTGCACTTGAATATCTTTTATTTTGACATTGAAGGGAATAGTTACCAATAACAGCAGTGTTTTATTTAGTTTACTTATTTATTTTTTAATGTATCCAGAGTTCTGTTGAGAGACATTATGTGGAAACCTGAAGACATGCCATAATGCAGCACATATTTCTACTGATGTTTTTTTACTTCTTTATTTAATCACATTATGCAATGTGTGTGTCAGAATTTATGCCGAGGGTGAGGTGAAAGTAGGAAAGAGAATACTTTTCACCACTGCAGTATTTTTATAGAAATATCCTAAAGCTATGTCATTGCACCTGGTTGTTAGCTACATCACAAAGTATCTTAATGATGTATTCTACAGGTTTTTAAGTACCAGGTAGTCATATTGGTTTGACACATGTATAAGCAGTACCAGGTACAATGTGAAGAAAGTAGAAGATGAGTGTTACAATTTGCCACAGTCCGAGGCACATACTTATAGTGGTTGAAGTTTTGTGTTTTTATAAGTTGGGCTTGAATGATTCCCTATATTGTTTTAGTTTCTTGGTTGAATTTTTTGTTTTAACTGAGAATGTGTTGATTTCTTATTTTGTCCTAGCACCTGTGAAATATAATACTGATATAATGCTGATCTGCAAACCCCTTTTGTTTGTTTGTTTGTTTCTCCTTTTAATTTATGATTGGTGTGCTTTTGCAAACGTTTAAGAGAAGTTCCATGAGAGCCCCCCCCCCCCCCCCACCCACACACACACACACACATATTACAGGAGATGTGTAAGTGAATAGGTGTCTACAGAGATAAGAGCCCCCCTTGTGTTTGTGTCTGACTTTTATTACTGTGTCTGACTTAGTGGGATTTTATGAGATGTCTGCCAAAGGACACCCACATGCATTGGAACATCGCACACACTCATCTTTTAAAAGCTTTAAAATTCATTAAACACTGAAGTGAAGCTTAAGTACAGGTAACTTAAACTTTATTCCACTTATGTGAAATATTGATAAACTTTATTCCACTTATGTGAAATATTGATCACAAAAAAGTTGGTAACACCATAAATAGTCTTAATTATAGCATGTATGTAAGTGCTATTCTTCCGTGATCTAGGAAGAGTTGTAATAGGATAAAATGTAGAAAAGGTTATACATGTGTTCTAGGTTTGGCAGAGATGTGGCTTCCTGGTCACTGTTAATGATTGAGACAGGTACAGCAATGGCTTTTTTAAAACAAGGTTAAAATTTCAATAACTGATGGCAAGCACAATTTTTTGTTTGCTGTCGACTCATTATAACTAGTACTGAAAGAATCCACAACAGCTGGATCTCATTTTAGTAAGGCTCTCACATGGAAATTTAGCTTTCTTTCTGTCCTGATGTAATGGTTGTTCAATCGTATGAGAGTCCAAATACCAGTTGTATGGGGGAAGTGAATCAATTCAGTACAAAATTTGAGTAACCACTTAAATAATTTTCTTCTTGGCAAGGATCTATTCACAATGTTTAAATTTTTCCAGATTGCCAGTATTTTGTCAGAATATACATTAACAGTTTGGCAATTACAAATATGAAAGTGGCGAAACAATAAAATCATGGTTGCTACTTACAGATCAGATTACAAGGATGTAGAATCAAGTTTGTTCTAAGAAAGATGTCTGTAATCATTTTCTTTCTTTTTTTTTAATTCCTTTATCCTTGAATTTGTTTTATTTCCATGAGAAGGTTATGTCAGATGGTTATTTTAATGCTTTAAATCTTCTATTGTATAAATGTATATATATTTTCAAAGTTAAACTATTTGTTTGACTGATGTAGATAAATATTTTCTTATGTATTTATAAAAATAATAATAATTATAATTATTCTTATTATTATTAGCCTATTACACAACTTCATAACTTGTATGATGCAATATGTAGTCTAAATCCAAATTCAAATTTATCTCATTTATTGGAAGGCATAATTTGATGGAATTCAAACCATTTTTATCTTATCAAATTTACTGTTGGTTTATAAAAGCATCAAATATTAGCAATTTAAGAAAATGTAAATCTTAGATTGTAAATTAAGTGTTCATGGGAAAAACTGCATAAGACAAAAGTAAGTAAAATATTTTGGTGTTTTCTCATGCATTCTATATGTATAGAAAAATATCAGAGATTTGGTATAATATGGCACTCCTGTATTCAAGAAACTGAGTCTGCCTCTCCCGATACTCATTAGTTAATTAATTAAACTAAAACTAAACTTGCATAATTCCCATTAGGGCATTTAGAGTAACTACCATTAGAAATGCAATTATACCAAGTCCTTATACCTAGATTAATTGACTTGGCATTTTAAAGCAGTGGATTAATTCCTTGAATTTTGTATGACAATGTACTCTATCAAATTAATTTTTTTGGAACTGGGAACTTGATCAGTGTGATTTTATCTTCATTCAGGTTTAATAATTCTTAACTGCCTTAGTTTGTTTTCATAAAATTGATCAGGGATATCTGTGATGTCTAAAAGTTGTAATTAATTAGTAACAGGAAGGAGACCAATAACACAGATTGATGCTACAGATTTGTTACTTTTATTCCCTTTCTTTTCTATGCCTGGATTAACTATGTTAGATAATGCTAGCATCAAAATATATGGATCAATGTCTTCTTCACAATTGATTGACATATGTTTAACTGATTTAACTAAGAAAAGGTATTATTGGTATTGTGCACAAAAAAGTTACAACCTAACTTACTTGGTGTACACTACCGTAGATAGTGAAGTGGAAAAAAGATTTTTAAAGAAACTTCTTGTTATATTGTGCAGTAATCCCTCTTCCTGGTTAATGCTAGAAAGGGTTGGAATCTTCTTTTTATGTGCAGACACATCATCATCCTGAGCTTGGGGTCAATTAGTGCATTCTCTTGTAAGAAGTGGCCCAAATGTGCTGGATCTGAAGTCTGTAATTCAGGAACCATAAAAGCTAGAGTCCTTTTGTTTTTTACAATTTGAAGTGTTTGTCAACTACAACACTTACAATGGTAGGGTTTGTTTGTTTGTTTTCCATATGTTTTAGGGGTTGCATTTTTTCCAAAAAGTAATGTGCAATGATGAATTTTTTTTCAGATGTGAAATATTCCAAAAGCAGCTAAACACCCACAGTTCCACTTGTTAAGGAAGTGATATGTTGGCTTAATGTGACCTCGTATTGGACATTTGGCCTACTTTACTATTTAAAAGGCACTTTGCATATATTTTGCTATCCCATATTTTTATACAGCTAAAACAGCTAAGTCCATAGCTACCATTTGATCTGATTGAGGTTAATCTTGTTAAAATTTGGTGTTAAACATCATATAAAATATATCTCATAAAATCAGAATTTACATTTTGTGCATCATTATTTGTTTTTCGTCTGTACATTTTACAGCTTTACTGCTTGTTATATAACAAAAGAGTCATTGCACTTATTAACTAAGTGCGGAGAACGTGTTTTGAATATCTGTTTGAGACAGTAGCATGTAAGACATGAAAGCCAGGGCTGTGACATGAATACAAGGGTATAATATAGATGTCTACCATTGCCTGTAACTAGGAAATTCTGTGAAGAACTGAATACAAAATACCAGGAGGAATTGTCTTTAGAGGGAGAGTAGGAGGCTGACTCATTAAGACTTGAAAGTTCAGCCCATGTATATAGCACTATTGTCTTAAAGCTCCACTGTGCTGATGTCATCAGTTACAGAGGTAAGGGCAGGTGTAATGAAAGGTTGGTGAGAGGAATATTACCTGTGAATAAAAACAGGTGGAAATAAGGTGTGTACATGAGCAAAAAGATCTAAGGGATTGGCGTGACTGTGTGAAATTGAAGATGTACGTAGTATCAGGTGGGTACAAACATACAGAAATATAAGATGGGAGCAGTTTGACATGGAGGGTAGATAGACTGTTGACCTAATACTTGTAGTTAATTTGGCAGAAAAGACAAGGGATGTCACAGTGTTGGTTATGATGGTACACTGGCATATAGAAAGGGCAAGAAGGGCTGAAAATGGAAACAGTTTGGCATGGATATATAAGAAATACAGGGTAAGGTATTCCAGTAACTGTAATATGTAGAAAGAAATATGCAGAGGAATGGTTTGAAGGGGGGAAGGGAGGCTGCTAGTGCATATAAAATGAATGAGAATGAGTTAAAGTGCACTAGGTAGTGCACATTAACAGACTAACAGCATTCACAACTGGTCTATTAAATCTCTGTTTTCATTTAGCTTTAATTGCAAGCCCCCAGCAGGGGTGGTGCATGTGGTAGGCTGGGAGACCATTGGGGGGGTAGTGGCATTGCTTTCAAGTGGGGCTTGCAGATCAGTTTGTCTGATGATCATTTGTTGTAGATGTGCTCTAACATGACTCGTTTCCAATGTACTGATATTAGCTAGTGCACACTTATTCCTTTTGAACGGCCCCTAACATGATACTTAAACTGGTTTATCAATAGAAGTATTGTGGCAACATTTAACACACAAGATATATACTACTAGTACACATTCCCAGTCAAGTTGTGACCCAGTGTATCATCCAAGCAGACCATGTGGTTGTGCTCTTGCAGATTGCTGTCATGAGTGACCTCACGCCGTGGTCTTAGGTTGACATGTTATGGTAGGAAGATGTAATACATGGATTACACAGTTCACTTAGATAATAACCACTGAATTAGGTCCTCACAAGTTGATTGGGGGAAAAACGGCCTAAGACATGGACCAGGATGTATAAAAATTGAAGTTGTTTTAGTAATATACCTAGACAGAGCAAGTATGATGGAATGTCTATGAGCACCTGTGGTATATATTAAGACATTTGTTAAGTGGTATACCTGCTGTTTTTTAACTGCCACTAGGTGTCTTTGGCATCATGATCCTATGCCTAACATTGCAGAGAGGGATTGTGATACAACTGGTAACAGCAGAGAAGACATCCTAACAGATAAAACATGATCAGCATCCCTTGAAAAATAACCGTATCTGTCAGAAAAGCAACAGCTTCTCAGTACCAGAAGATACTAAGAGCTTAGTATCAACAGAGAGATTGGTTTATTTTAAAGCTACGTTTTCTTGAAGGTGAGATCATTTTGGAGGTATTATGTATTTTGAACACCAATAAGTTGGAGACAGAAAGGATGGAATGCTGTGTTAACCGGTCTGTTCTATTTAGTTTGCCCAGTCCAGGCCTTTGGGGGGGGGGGGGGGGGGGGGGCTTTTATGTCTGTCTATATGACAGTTATGTTGCCTTGTGTTAGCTTTTGAAAACTTCCATAAGTATGTGCTGACCCCCACTCGGCGGTCCAATCTGTGTGTGTGTATAAACTAAGATGAGCATATTGTGTTTTACATAGCCCAGCGTGGTGGTATTGCTTTATGTTTGTTGATAACAGCAAATTCCACATTTTCCACTTGTTAGCTTGGTCTTGGTTTGTTAATGGAAGGGGCAGTTATGTCATGAGGCTTAGGAGTTAATAGTTTATATCTTAAGCTAAGCAGTGAAGAGGGGTTGTATGGCAATGTAGTGGATTATGTACTATTGCTAGGTTTTCCTGCACTTGTGTACTGGCAGTCTAAATGGGGTGCTGATGTTGTGTCATTCAGGTGTCTGGAGATCACAGGGAAAACAAGGGGAAATGGCAGCAGTTGACAGGGCAATGAACTGGTCGAGAACATTCTCAAGAGATTTGCTACAGTGAGACTGACATTAATCTCTCTGTTGTCTCACTGCCATTGTAATGTTGAGGTAAGAGGAAGGCCAGCTAGAGGTGGGGGTGGAAAGACATTTTCATAACACAGACTATGCATACAGTACAGCACTTAGTTGAGTCACCACAACAAGACAGTGCTGAGAGTCATATATATATTCTACCCGCATACTGGCAGTGTTGTGCTTCACTGTCTTGTGGAGATATTTTTACAAGGTTTGAAGAAAGATCAAGGTCTTTTTTTTTTTTAATATGTTTTCCAACAAAAAGTGAGGGTTAAAGTAGATATTTTTCAAATTCGTATATTGCCACACCACAGTCCTGTGAAGATAATGGTAGATTCAAGAATCACCTTGGTGTTTGTCATCAGTCTCAGGCAATAAGGGTAAGAAAGAAATATTTTAGTTCATTAGAATCATTGAATTTTCAAAGTTAAAATCATGGTCAATATTACTGATTGTCACTGTTGGCATTTTCCAAGTGAGACTTTGAATTCCCATTGGATTAAAATCCTCTGAGTTTTACATTAGTAGTACATTACAGTGCATTTTTAAAAGTAGTGCAGGATTAAAATGGTAGTTATAATAATTATGCTTTAAATATGGGTTACATAAAAATTGACCAAAAAAATGTGCACTGCAGTATTCAAATTGGTTGTTTATCATTTTTGTAAGTTTTAATATCAGTACTTTGGTCAGTGTAGTTATTTACATGTCTGTCAATTTGGCAGCTTTCCTAAGCTTCCAGTTAATGTTGTAAATTGCTGCAGTAAGAGCAATTGGTTTCTGAGATAATATGAACCTAAAAAGGGATGATCCAAATTATTGTGAACAGTCAGGCTTTTCCTTGTCTGATGAACTCATCAGCTTCATTACAACATTCTGATCAATACATTAATGACATTCCATGATGTTTAAAACTTATGTGATCATTTGGCTGTGATGGCTTCCTTTTCAAAGTAAGATATTTTCAGTCCTTTCTTTTGTTACTCACATTAAGACTATAGAATAGTTTAGGTGAAAGATTCTTTATATTTAAACTAAGTAAATTTGACATGTAGGTTACTTTGGTAAAGTCAATGTTATGGTTCTACAGAATAAAATGCTACTATGTTAACAAACCCAGTCTAAATGGCACTGTAAATATTCTACTGAATATATTCTCCTGAAGTTCAGACATGAGAAGTATGTTTGTATGAAAGTTTATAGATGAAGCTGATCATTTTCAGTTCTCTTCTGCATCTCAGACTGGGCTACATATAGAATCAGCAGCCAAATCCTCAACTTCTTTAGATAGCCCTATAGTAGCCAGACTGCAAGGAGCCAGTGTCAAGTGAAGAGTTTATTATTACAACCAAACTTTGACCAACACACACTGGCAGGAAAAAATACATAGGTGATAGTCAATGATACTAATTAAGTGGATGGATATTTCTCATCTTATTGAGTTTCATATTGCGTCATGGTTCTGCCCATCATAAAAAAATGCTGCTCGGAGATCTGAACAAAATATTGTGTGGTAACTTTAATTTTAACCCATTGCACATACCTTTGGTAGACTAGCTTAAATTATATGGCTATTATAGAGTCAAAATTCTTGCTATTGACAGGATTCCAGTTCAAAGACATATAATTAGCATAAGATTGATTAGGCTATTATATGAACATGTGCATTTACATGAGTATGTGTTACTCTATTAAAACCCACGTTGGGCTGTTTAATTTCAAGTCTGTTTATCCCTTGGTGACTGTAGAATCCAATTAGCTTGTAGAATTCAATATAGTTATCAACATATGTTATCTAATTATTGTGAAATATTAACTGTCAAAGATTGGTAGGTGTTTAAGAAATTCACTAGTAGGAATTCTGACCAACTGTCCAGAGTAAGTGGTCAGAGATCAATTGGGCTGTCACTGGCTGTGGTCACTCATTATCCGGGTATTGAATTCTACTAAATGAGTCACTCGGGTTTTATAAGTGATTATCTATCCTGGATATTAACATTTGAAAAGTGTAATTTAAAGTCTCATTAAATGGTTGATACTAAGTTTTTTATTTGGTTGAGTTAGGAATGACACCGACATGTCGTGGTTGACCACTTTAGGCTGCAGTTCTGAGCAGTTTGCAGTAGGGTAATCAATACTGATGGCTCGGAAACTGTTGCTGTGATTTTATTTTAATGTCTTGGTATTGTTCAATGAAAACAAATAAAATGTTGCCATATCGTGCAGCCATAATAGCCATCACATGTTATTATTCTTATTTATGAAAACCCTGTGTTTCAGACCACTGATGGAGACTTCCCTATTTCAGCACCTACACTGTGTTCAGTGAACAGCATGAAGGTGCTGGCCACACAGGGGAGTTCTTCTCAGTAGCTTCTGAAACTCAGATTGATTGTAGCATTACAAAGAATGACAATTGCATCTGCTCTGCTTATTCCAGGTGAAGAAGCTCCACGGCCTCACAGAACAGGTACATTATGGCATGATGTGTGGGATAGGGCCTGGGGTCACTGACCTTAAAGGTTAATGACCTAAGGTTTATTAACCCCAGGGAGGTGCTCTCTGGCACAGAGATCTTGAACAAGTTAAAAAACCATTGCAAATTACTTGTAAAAATCCTGATTTTAACTCTTTTGCCATGTGCTAGAAAGTACCTCAGTCTTCACTATTCCTAACCACATAGACCAGAGCCAGAGGTTAGAGCATGTAGCTACTTAGTAGCATGTTGAGTGGTTTCTATTGATGTTGTTTCTAGCATGTAGTTAGCATGTTGAGTGGTATCTGCTGATGCTGTTATTGTGCTGTGTGAATATGGATACCACTGCCATTTCTGTCAAGTTGTGGCACCCTGAACTTGGTATGTATGTACTGTGTGATCAGGATTTCTTGTCCTAAGAAGCCTGTCTAGTACAACATAGCCTCTAGATCTGTTATGGAAGACAATACAAGAGAGGGACTCCACTGGTGCTAGAGGTTGTAAACTAGAAGTAGATAGAAGAAGACATAGACGGCCACAGTTTGACAGGAAATGTGGCCCGTGTCATGATATGTCTGTCTCCCTGGCAGACCCAGGTTACATGGAGTGGTATATTTTAGAAATGTAACCTGTACCAGTGCACTTTGAGGTCTTAACACATCAATACACAACAGAGGGTTTAATAGCCATCAGTCTCTTAAAGTGTACTGGTACTGTACAGACTGTATCACTGAAGTCTACCACTTGATGTGAAAAGGGTCTTATTCTGTCTCACTTGCCTGGTTTGTTGTGCCTTTCCACTGCATGTTTCGTGTGTGTGTTCTCACAGCCTAGTCTGGGACTACAATAGGGTAGGGCTGTGTTTGGATTTTGTGATATCATGAAAATTTCCATTTCTGTGTATTGTACTCTACAATACACAGAAATAGCATGCTTACTATCACCCCAGTGTTTTCTTTTCCACCTTTGATGTGCTTTTATACATATGACTTAATTAAGTTATATACATATATATATATATTCAACCTTTGGATGAAATGTGCTGTAATGATATACCTTAATAGGTAGTACACTTTACTGCATGCTTAAAAAATTGTCAACCTTGGATGTATTTTATATATGCAAAGCATGCAGTGCATAGCAGATATTGTTCTCATCATACCTATGCTAAAATGACTAGTGCCAATCCCAAGGTTAGGCATATATCTTCCAACTTTTTCTTGCTTAAACTCTCATGTATTCACTCCTGTTCATGATATAGGGTCAAGTTGTTTTCACTCACCTGTAGGAAATAGTCTCAGCTACACAGTGAATACTGTATTATGCATGTGCTGCCATATATATATATATATATATATATATATATATATATATATATATATATATATATATATATATATATATATATATATATTCCATGGCCATATTATATACTTGTTTACTTGTACATGTAGCTGCATCTACAAGCATAAACATCCAGAAATCCTATTTTTGAATTCTCTACAAAATTGAATTGGTGTTGAGAAAATAGGCTGTTGAATTGATATCTGAAGAATGAAAGGAATAGTATGTAGGAACAGTCCAGCAAATGCTCTTTCAAAATAAATTCTTATTTAATTTAAGTATCTTGCACATATGGTATAGGTATAGGTTTGTGGCCACACATAGCTTGGATAGTTATAGTGAGTATAACTACGCAGACAGCTGAAAGTACTCAGTTTTAAATAGAATATATGGGAGCCTTTGGTCCCAAAATAGAGGCTCCTGGTCGGACATGCAGCATAACCTTTTCTCTCTTTCCCTGGTATTTTTTCTGAACTCATTCCTTGGGAATACTCCATGGAACTCCAGGTACCAAGTTTTGGGAGATAAATGGTCTGCAGTCTGAGGTGCTGTGGAGAACAGCACAGTGGCTGAGGTTAGTCGGAATTAATTCTTCATTTCAAAGTAGTACATTTATGACTGAGTCTTTATGCATTGCTCTTTTGTGTGTTAGGAGCATCAGTTGACTCGTGTTATTGGATGTAGTGGACCATTTCTCCAACTGTCTCTGGGACAGGTATGTCTTTTCAAGTATATTTTTCCTGGACTTAGAGAAATATTTTACCCTGAGGAGTAATTGGTGGACAAAAATTGATGTTTCCATTTTCCAAATATTAGCTGCCCAGTGGCAAAATGTCTCATAGCTTTTGAACCTTTTCCAAGTCCTTGGATGTTGCAATATTGACAGTTATATTGACTGAATTTCCAGGTTATTGTAGTATATTTGATTTCCTAACCTAGTCACCTTCAGAGAATTTACTGCATTTGTTTTGATGCTGCATATAATAGATAAATGGAAAGTGTCCATCAGAGTGATAACTCATATCATTTAGTGAAGTGACTTCTAAGGAAATTGATCATTTGAATTATTCCTAGAAGCATGGTAATTTCCTCTCATGTTCCAAATTGAATCGAGTTATGTTTATAATTTGATCTTCTAGGAGTTTCCTGGGTTTTGCTATATGATATCTAAAGTGAAGGGATTGTTCAGTAAGAACTAGAGCACACAAGGAAATGACTGTATCATATTTTTATCACAAATCCATATTTTATAACAAATCTTAATGATATCTGAAGTGAAGGAATTGTTCAATAAGAACTAGAAAACATGACAAAATGACTATATCATATTTTTATCACAAATCCATATTTTATCACAAATATTTATGATATCTGAAGTGATGGAATTGTTCAGTAAGAGCTAGAGCACCTGAGGAAATGACTGTATCATATTTTATCACAAATTCATATTTTTTTTCTATTTGTATTTTGCTTGTTGTTCTCTACTTATTAAACTCCAACTTAAGCTAATCATTTTATGTAGATATTGAAGGTATTTTACAAAGCTGTCCCCAATTGCTTTATTCCTTGTGATTTTTGTACTGTGACACAAGGTACCCACATCTGAGAAGAGGTTATATATGATGTGTCGGGAGAATTAACATGATACTGATTCAGTGAAGTAACTCTGTACCATCATTGCCAAAGTGAACCAACAGTGCATTGCTAGTCTTCCTGTGTGGCTGCATCAAAATGAACAGTGTCATTTTCAGTCCAGTTATAGGTTGAATAAGTGCTGGAGAAATGGCTTAAAATATGTTTGTTGCAATATATGGTATTGTGGCAGAGCGTCAGGAGATGAATTGATATATATCTGCATTTAAAAACATTCACTGAGACTTCATTCACACGTTGGCACAATTCCACACAACTGCATGCAGTGAGTGTAGATGCACGCAGGTGTGTGTGCATTTTTGTTTGTTTGTTTGGGTTGGTAGCACTGTATAACATATTTAGTTGAATTAATTAAAGAAAGTTCATTAATTTTAGAATACAAAATGATGAGCACTCTAACTGTCGGCTAATGAAAATCATATTTAATAATAAGGAAGAACAGAAAAAAAATCAAAATGCAAAGTCATCTTAGTAAATTAAAATAGGCTTAAATAAAATGGAGCCATCTAGAGAGTTAAGATTAAACCAAAACAGAAGCAACATGTAATGGAGATAAAATGGCCTGATTTCTAGGAGTAATCCATATGTTGCCAGGATACGTCTCTGGATGGGCTCCTTAGTGTGAAATGTTGGGCTGTTTGTTCTGTGAATTAGGCTGCTGCTGGATTGATGGTTCAGGAGTGGAGTAGGTGAACATTTACAGGGAGGGTAATTTCAGGGACCATTCCCAGACCCTATCGTACTAAATGTGGATCGATTTATCTCCAAGGAGATTCTTGCTAAAGCGTAATCAACTTAAGTGGCTTAGATGTCTGTAATGCCTTCTGAAGCTGCTAGGAGATAATTTATCATTTAGCAGCTTCATTAGGCATGCCAGACATCTAAGCCGCTTAAGCTAAAAGCAATTTAGTGAGAAACTGGAGATAGATCGATCCTGTTAGATTAATCTAGGAATGGGAACCCAGTCTCAGTTAGATGTAATGAGGCTGTCTCTCAGTGTCCATATGTACAGATAAAACATTCAGATAAAACATGGACATGCTGCTCAGTGTTAATTTTTGGGAATGTTTGATGGGGCAGGAGGGGGGGGGGGGGGGTAGGCCGAGCCAAGGAGATAACTGATTGAAAACATGTATATAAAGAGAAAAATGACTTCTGCTTTTGAAATATTTTGATACCCACTGATATTACAAGGGTGCAGGCCATGTAAAAAGTGGTCATTGAATGAGGATTATTGCAATTTTTGTACTTTTTTGCTCTTTAAAAATCTTCGCAAAGGTGTTGTTTACAGCTGTCAGTGTACAACTTGGACTCTGCAAGATATCCTGATGAAGTCTTAAGGACAGATCCTCAACAATAAGGAAATATTAGCAAAATTTTTCAAAAATTTTGCAGGAAGTGAAAAATTTTATTTTGGGGAAAAGCATGTATTCTTTGATAAGTTGAGAGAAAAGGGTCTACAGTAGGAGAAATGACACCTTTTTAAAGCTGTATGAAGTGGGATTATGATTGGTGAATGTTGTACTATATGTGCCAACATAGTTGTGGTAGGACATGTTATTTTCATTCAAGTAAACCAGTTCAATGTATTCTTCTCGGGGGTAAACAGGACAATGTGCTGGCTCTAAAGTGAGTTCAATGTCAGAGTTGAAATAGGTTATATTTAAAGTAATGTTAATTGCTGTAATAAATGTATGGTCACCAGCATAGCTGTATCCTGGAAGCCTTATAACTTCCCTAGAATAATGGAACTACTTTTTTTTTTTTTTTTTTTGACATCTCATAAAAGGATGCAGATCTTTCCCCATTGTAAACAAGCCTGGCCTATGGTGGATATTTTTCTCAATGACTCACAGTCATGTGGCTGATTTTATTATTAACTAACAATTGTTGAGAATCTAGACAAAATATTATTATTTAAAGCATAGGGTGCTCCCTAAGATAAGAATGATACAAAGTGTATTATTTGGAGAATTTTTATACTAAGATGTGATGATTTGTATTGACAATAGGGAAATATTTTAATGAAGTACCAGCTAGATTGTAATTGAGTGGCCAAACCTATGTAAAAGGAGCAGTTTTCAATGCATGATATATAGCAGTCTTTGATTTTTGAGAGTTTGCCTAAGTAACTAAATGTATATATACATATAGAAGTTTTCATAACAACACATTCATTGGAATCTTTGTGAAGTGGCAGTTATGTTATTTTCACACCAAACTGTCGCAGAAGTAGTTTGATTGATGCCCTCTGCTGAGGACTGACCCAGCTGTTACTTATTATTGACTAATTATACCCAGGAATTTGACTCTAACATTAGCAAACTGTTTATGATTATAGGTTTCTTAGTTGTTGACTTTTTTATCTTGCAAATTTGCTAATTATTTTTTATTTTTATTTTTATTTTTTTTTGTCATTTTTTAAAGATGATTAAGGAGCTTAATGATTTTACTTAATGGTTTGTTGTTCTTTTCAGAAATGGAAGCATCGTTTTTTTGTCCTTGGTAAACCCAGTGGAAGTCTTCCTGATGTATATGCCTTAGACTACTACAAAGATGAACAGTTGAAAAAACTGATAGGCAGGGTTGACTTAGACCAGTGTGAAGAGATCACTTCATCACTTAAGTCATCACAATACAAACATTTATTCTCCTTGAAAACAAAACACAAGAATCGTGAGCGCGTGTATTATCTGGCAGCAGACTCAGAGCCTGCCATGGTACGCTGGGTGGATTATTTGTGCTCAGTTTGTGGGCTCAAGCAAGATGAGGATGATGATGGTAAAGAAAAGAATAAGATGGTGTTTTATGATGTGACCTTAAACAGTTTTTAATCCCTTTTGTTTTAGCAAAAATACCAAGTTTTCACCAGTTTAATTGAACAAAAAACAGTACCCATAGCTTTTTTAATTTTTCTCAAGTTAATGAGAATTATCTAAAACATTTGATGAAATTTGTTTGTTAGGGCTATGCTAAATTATAATATAAAGTAATTCTAATACCTCTAAATGAAATATTGATTTATGTTGTTGTGCTCTAAATTTGTTTTTAGCAACTAAGGGTGAACCTTCATCCAAAGTTCTAACCATACATTATTTGTAAGTATGAAGGTATCTTTGATATTTCAGTTCATAGTGAGGCGTCTCTTCCTCCAGTACAGAGTGACTCCAGTGCAGCCATGCAGACAGGTGAAGCCCAGCGGCTGGACGGACTGGAGATTACCACAGCAAGTAAAGATCGCAAGATGAATGAATATGCCCCAGAGCCTGGGAAAAACAAGGCTCAGGCCACAGCTCTGGCCAGTGCACAGGCCGAGGCAAGGGGCTACATCCCATTGGATGAATGCTACAGTGGTTCAAGGTCACCACCAATGCAACAAAATGGGGCATGTTTAGGACAAATCCCCCCAGCTTCCAGTACATTGTCAGCCCCTGTTCACACACGCTATCCTAGCTCAGACAGTATTCCTGATGTTCCCCCTCCTCCTCCTCCTAAGGATGCTACCCCTCCCCCTAGATCTCCTCTAGGCCAAGCCTATGATAGCCCACCTAAGCGTATAACAACAGAGTCAGTGTTATCAGACACTTATGATTTCCCACCAGTGCACCATCCTTCCAGATATTACAACCTGGATGACTTTGATGTTGAACGCCAGGGTCATAGGAGTATGACTTACGATACACCACCCCCAAGGAAGATGTCCCTACCCACAGGGCAGCTGGACAGTTTATATAAGCTGCCACCACCACCAAAACCAACTTCACCAGATAGAGACAATGTGGTGTCAGCAGCGGGGCTGTATGCTGTCCCACCCTCCAGACACGAAGGCTCTATCAGAGATTCCAACTCCAGCAGATCTTCAGGAGTCGCACCTGATTCTGGGTTCACTTCAGAGGAATACGATTTGGTTCCCAGGAAATATTCACCAGAGGAGATTGCAAGATCAAATCAAGATTTCCATGTCAGGAGAAGTTTCAATCAGAATGATTTACAAAGAAAAAGTGCAGGGGATACCTATGATATCCCTCCTACAAAACACTCTGTTCTGGCAGGTCTGGGGACAGCTGTTCCACCCCCTCGACCCCCAAAACCAGTGAGTGGTCCTGTACCAGACCACCATGCTACTCCCTATCAAAACCTGCCATCAAACAGTAAAGTTTTTACAGATCTAAATGCAAATATTCCAGTAAGAGCGAGCACAGCGAGTACTGATAGCACTGCTGATGATATCTATTCATTCCCCAAACGTGCAGACATTGATGAATCAAGTGCAAATCAAGGCAGCACGGATCCCATACTTGCCTTTTCTCCCCCTCCTCCCACTGCCTGTCAGAAAGTGCCACACAAGTACATTAATGCAGCCACTGGGTTTGTGGAAGAGCCTGCAGGGGATGGACAGACTGGGGAAGGGAGGAATGAGACATTGGCTTATTACATGGACATGGAGGGGAGTACCCACACGCTGAGTGATAGGGCTTCACAGAGGGAAAGCACTTACACATTCATGGGGGACCAGCGAACAAAAGGAACAAAACAAAACAATATCTCTTTAAGTGCTGTAGTTCAGCAGCCTCCCTCTGTACATGGGCATACCATTAGTCAGGCTGAGGCTTATGTGAACCTAGGAGATGGTGGCAGCAGAGAGGGTGACAGGGTGAGCAGTTTGTACCAGGTGCCGCCCTCCTCACGCCCTGTACTGGTAGATACCCAGCAAGTCACTCCTCCCATGGTCCGTAGAAATGATTCTGGGAATATGGGAAGAAGACCAACAAATACAGGTATCTGTGTATGAAGTTCATGATTCCTTAATGACTTATGTAGTATTAATTCACATTATTCTACTTGCTGAGGATTATCACTTTGCTTCAATGGATTTGTGTTCAAATTGCAAGTTGCTAAGTATATCTGTAACATATTTGTGAGAGATAGTATAGCTGACACATGATTCCTATTCTCTCTTTATTCATTTCTCGGTAGGAAGATGGTCTTAAAAGTGTAGTTATACCATTATAATTTGACTTTTCAGAATCCACCATGTCTGTTGAGGATACCTATAGTATTTCTTCCACAGCCAGGACAAGGAGTTTCCGCAGAGAAACCCCTGCTAAACTCCATAGTAGTCCCAGGTAAAATTACTGTTTCTATCTATCTTCAAGACTAAGGCCCTATTCAGAATAGGGGAGTAACTAGTCCCGAGGGTCAAATATGGCTACCCACTACAAAGCGTGCCGTCTAATCCGCTAATAGACACTGAATAGATATCCCCTGGGGAAGTATTCAAGTGGGTCGGCCATATTTGACCCTCTGACTAGTTAGTCCACTATTCTGAATGAGACCATAGATAAGAAATGATAAGAAATGAACTTATCAATCTGGTATTTGGTTCTGGGACTCTGCATTAAGAAGGGCAATACATTTATGTGTATACATTTTTATGACAGCCTTAAACTAAGGTAAAGGGAATGTAAATGATAGGCAAAGTGTACTGTGAATTTTTTCATTCTTTTAAGTTTGAGACAGTATGCCCCTCTTCTCTCTCTCTCTCTCTCTCTCTCATAATTAAAATTAAATGTTTCAGACCTTTCTTGAGATATTTCTTAGATACCAAATGGTGGCCCTTCACAATAAGGTGATTTATATGTTCACTTGCAAAATTGTATTTGTGACCCACCTGATGGTTTCATTTTGTAGACAAACGCAAGACATCCCCCTCCCAAAGCGTGTCCCTCCACCACATGGCAGTTTTTCCTCGAGTTCTGATGATGATAGTGAAGATGAACGACCACGAACTAACAGTAACAGTAGTGCAGGTAGCAGTGGGAGAAGACTGGTATGTCAGGCTCTGTCACACACTTTTATATATATATATATATATATATATATCTGCCAAGGCCAAATAAAAATTTCAATTCACTTTATATTTATTCTGTAATATTATAATTTCATTCTTACCTAGTCAGATTTTAATTTGGCCTGGGTAGAATTTAAATGATATATAAAAAAGATATTAAAAAATGATTCAAAGTCTACCTCCATTTTTATTTCCTGGGAATCAAGATAGATAAAAAGTTTGAATAATTTTTCTTGTCTTTTTATAAGCTCCCCAGCTATGGGTAGTGCACTTTTTCATGTGAATTGCCTTTTTTTTTTTTTTTTTTGAAAAAAGGGAGAAAAGAAAATGAAAAAAATCTGGATAATATAATATTAAGTTTCACCCCCTTCCATTGGGAACTGGTTCATTGTAAATGTTTCAGCATGTCTCACAATATTTCTTTTTTTCCAGCCCCCTCCACCCCCTCCAGTACAGTGTCTTCAAGCAACACCCCCTGCACCAAGAAAACAGAAAATTGTGGAATATTTAGATCTAGATCTCTCGGATCATTCATCTGATCAAGAGAAGAGTCCCAGGCTGACCAGATCTCCGCCAGCAGCACAGCGAAACCAGACTGACTATAAAGAAATTGATTTTCTCAAGACCAAAGCCTTGGAGGACATCAAACGAGATTTGGATAGCAAGAGGAAAAGTAATGATACGAATTAATATGACAGACACAATGGTATTCAATGTTACAGAAGCACTGCTCAGTTTTGATGAATATAATGATATATATTTCCTGCAGATGGCTTGAAATCTTTATTTCTTCATAACATCATTTGGAATCTAATAACTCTTTATTTAAGTTGAGGTAACACAACAGATAATAGGAAATAGGACTATTGACCATAAAGACCGAGTTATGTTTTAAGTTTTACCAGTATGTTTAAGATATTTTTCCTCATTATGTCCCTATCCAAATATGTTTGTAAAATTTGTATTCATACATATTTATGTCTGACATAAGTATGTGAAAATCTTGTTAAGCAGTGTTACGTTGATTCTTGATGCAACAGTGGCTAAAATAATCAATCTCTTTCCTTTTGAGTCTTGTTAATTTTTTTATTTCTTATATATGCTTGTCATTTTGACCATGGACATTCATTAAAGTCGTTTTTTTTTCACACTAAGGACATCATTTATTAGCAGGACATTTATACATTAATGGAGCTATATAATTATTTGCAATGTTTCAACTCGATGATTAAGCAATTTACATGAGGTAACATATTTGTGTATATTTATTGTGCAGATTATGTCACGCATTCAGATGTAATTTCAGCGTTTGCACCAAGGTTCAAGCTATGTTAATTTTTTACACTATTCAAGTTTGAACTTATAATGCCATTATTAATGACAATGACACATTATATCAATAAAAAATATATACATATATTTGCCAGATAACCTTTGGATATATATTGCTGTCCATTTGCCTTCCAGAAGGGATGCAAAAGTTAAGTCTAAGAAATTTCATAGCCAACAAGTGTAAGGTAAATGTAAGATAAGTTGGCAGTGAAAAGCATGTACAGCTGCTGTTTAGTAACTGTTGGAGCAAATTGATTCTAACAATTATTTTAGTCACCCATGATCAAGCTCTTCCGAAATAATGTCACTGTCTGTGGATTTTCTTCTTTTGATAATGCATTTTACATGGATTGATAACTGTGATAATAAAATTACAAAGATGAGGCAACTATACATTGAGGCTGGAACAAATATGAGTAGAATATGCTGTACATTTGTTCCAAGAAACACTATATATGTATATTATGCTGCTGTAGTCTAAAGTCACTTCCATTTTGAATTCAGATTTGCAGTGCCAGTAATACATTGTATTACTTTCGAAAGAATCCCTTTGTATTAATAATGCAGTTGATAAAGTGGAATTGTATAAATAATCCATATATTTTTGATTGACAATGAAATGTGTACAGCATATACTTTTGATATTGCACAGTGTAAACTTTAATTGGCAGATGATTTCATAGTGGCAAATCTGAAGATTTTATTGAGCACATATAAAACTAGCCAGTGTTGAAGTTGAATTTATTAATTTAGGGATTCAGTTTAAGAGCATCTTTTGCAGTACTATTTCTCTCATATTCAAGTCTTTCTGAACCAAATGTTATAGATACTTAAAGTTCTATCAGGTTATTTCATTTATAATTAACATATTTCCAATACTGTTTCCTTTTTACAGGGAGAAATCTTGGAACAAACGTTACTAAATATGATAAGTTTTAAAGTAAAACATCAAAATGCAAATATTGCAAGCAATGCTGCCATTTTGTAGAATTGCTTAAGATGGCCTAGTGTTAAAGAGAAAATTAGCATTTGATATTTCGCAATTAATGAAATTATTTTGCTGCTTGTAACATTTGTATATATGTGTATATGTGGCCATGAGCAATAAAAGGACAGTGTTTATAAACATTTTGAAATTCTTTCTTTTTGTGTGTGTATTTTCAGTAATAAGATACCTACCAAGTTTTTTTTTTTTTTTTTTTTTTTTTTTTTTTTTTTTTTTTTTTTTTTTTTGTGGAAGTTGCATTGGCATACATAAAGTTAAACTTGTATGAGATGGGCCATTATCCCATGATGTGTCAGGTAATATCTTTTTATTTTTTCTGATGTATGTACAAAGTTCGGTGACTTGTTGGCCCATGAGGCAGGGTGATTTGCATATATGTATATCACATGTCACGTTAATGAATAAATATTATACTATATTTGGATATACCATGAAGTATCTTAACAGGCGTATTTGGAATCTCCAGGGCCCGGTTTCATCAAGGCTGGATAGCGCTATCCTATGGATAAAAATGGCCGCTATCCTCTGGATAGAGCTATCCAGAGAATAGTGCGTTTCATCAACAGTGGATAGCGTTAAAATCAGCTTATCCAGAGGAAAAAGTTGTCCGCTCGAAATAGGTGGGATAAATCTGCTATCATGCTGTTAAATCATCAAAAAAGGCTAACCTGTTTGGTTTGGCAGTAAATCCTGTGAGATTTCACAGGCGGAGAATAATTAGAAAGAGAATTTTAAAAGATGTGTGTTTGCTTTTGATGCTTTGAGTGATGCTGAATCAATAGATTACATAACAGACTTTATCAAAGTTGACATGGCGCCTGCTACGAACAGAACCCATGCAATCTCCGTGAGAGACCAATGATCTTTAATTTTACTAAAACATACCTTTTAAATCGATGAAAAAATTCTACACTGCTATTGACAGAATCTGACATACCAGGGGTAATCCTAGAGAGGGGTAAGAAACGTCCATTGTTCTCGTCAGTGAGGCTAACCAAATTCAGGGTATGTACGCACAGACAGAAAACCATGTATTGTGGGAACGTTACTAATGAAGCCACTGGTAGTACTAGTAGATATCAGTCTGTAGTCTTGAACAAGCACCTCCTTGACGAGTGAACAGTTGTCAAAAACAAAAGACCCAGGTGTGGTAGATCGACTACTGTTCGTGCGTGCCGCAAAGACCAAGCCTAATAGCCCCTCAAGGTCACAAACTAATATCCGGTGCTGACGGTTAGGCTCGTCATAATCATATAAGTAGCGCGTTTCCACCCCCTGGACATACGTGCCAAGTCAGCCATTTTGTTAGAAAGTATGTCACGACCTTGCCCTTCAACTGCAAACTGTAAACATTGCATGAGGCACAACTAATGCAATGTGATGTGTTTGTGACTCTGACACTAAAATATCCTGTAGATATTTCCCCATTATTTTAATGAATGTGCCATCTTGAAATATACTGATAATATTGTTTATTATGGGTAATTTATTTTCCAAATATGGTATAGATCACTTTTTTGTTAGCAACTATCATGGCTATTATAATGTTTATAGCAACCAACTGCATTATGGGAATGTATTTTACCAAATATGGTATTGGATTAATTTTTATCCACTGGATTACTATCATGCTGTTTATCCAGCCTTTGTGAAACACAATTTTATACAGAGGATAACTATCCAGAGGATAAGAGATTTATACCTTGGATAGTGTTATCCATAGGATAGACTATCCAGCCTTGATGAAACTGGGCCCCAGGATGTCCCAGTATGAATGTAACCCGCGAAAGTGAACGTAATGTATTGTACCACTAGCGTTCGCGCTGGCAGTATACATGGTTTTAGTCCCGATCGGTCTCGTCCGCCGTATCCGTTTGATCCGCCGGCTCTGCCGTCATGTCACCGTTAATGTTTCTCCTGGACTACAAGAGCCTACAATATCTATATCTGCACGTTCACGATACTTGGTAACAAAATTGGGACATGGGCAACATGGCGCCGATCATATGAGCACGCTTTCCGCTTAGTATATGCATCGTAGTTTGCTTTGTATTCACAAATTTTGGAAAATGTAACATACAACACATACAAATATTATTAGTCGTGAGTGCACTTATTTTCGCAGAGTTGGGGAAGCACGCTGCGTTCCTAAACCGGCGGTTTTACAGCGACGACATGAAATCGTCTCTTGTGTGCACACTTTCCGTTCATAATATACATCGTATTTTGCTTCGTATTCATAAAGTTGGGAAAATGTGGCATTAAACACATACAAAAATTATCAGGGAAGAGTAGGCCTACATTTAACTTCACAGAGCTGGGAAAGCACGCTGCGATCCTGAATCGGCGGTTAAACAGCGATGACATGAAGATGTGTTAGTTTTGGATTGATCAAAGACTTTGTCACCGTAATTTTACCTGCAAGTGTTATCGCCGTCTATGCTGTATTTATATAGCCTTTTTTATCTACTGGAATGTATTTCAGGCAAGAAAAAACATCTTCAATGTAAATTATTTTAGGAGATAAAAATCATACATTCAGTTTTATTCCCTGTAACATGTTGAAAAAAGGATCCAACTTAATAATTAGAAATTTTAAAGTTAATCAATTCAGTTGTTTTGTTTATTTTTCTAACAACTTTGAATAAAATGCATCATTCAATTTCAGTGCATAGAAAACCAAACATCAATGACATACTAGGCGCTACAGTATGTGTTAATTGGTAAGTAAAAATCCATGCAGAAAAATAGGACCACGCTGCAGAGGTTGATGAGCTTTCCCCACTTGAGGTACACACAAACAAAAATTCCTACTGTATAAATAGTTGTGTGTGTGTGTGTTGGGGGGGGGGGGTTGGTGATGTGTGCACGAAAATATTGTTATAATGCTACTGGTGTAGCATGCCTGGTCTGCCTGACTTTAAACTCGTTGACAGAAACATGTAGATGCCAATAACATAAAATGCCGTTGTTATATTAGGCGCAGTAAATCTGTGCAGAAGCAACTAAACGTTACAGGGCCTGTAAGCTTTAAACATGTAAATATGAAAATGAACCTTGACGGCGAACATGATTCTTCATATATTTAGGTATCAAACCGTTATTCAATTCGACATTTTATCTGGCATTTTATCTGACAAACATGTATGAATACGATATATGACATAAAAAGCAAAAAAAAAAACTTATTAAATACAAGTTCAATAACTTCAACAGTTTCGAATATATGGCACTGAAATTTAGAACAATTTAGGAAAATGATGTTTTAATTAATGCTGAAAATTTCATGACTTAACCTTTTTTAGTTTTGACACCCCGAAAAAAAATCTTAAGTCAAATAATGCCTTCCGGCCTATGTGCCTGCTGGTCTGAGATGCCAGTGTCTGTTAGACCCCATTCCCAGAGATTAGATGGATCCAAACTAGATCGACCTAACTCCCTGGGGGTTCACGCTAAATAGCTGTCAGCCGAGCGGGCACGAAAGTTAATTACCCCCTTACAGCTTATAGTAGGCGGGACGGACATTTAAGCCGGATTATCTGACAGTAATCTAGTGAGACTCCCCACGGGGATAGATCGATCTAAATGTCTGGGAATACGCCCTTAGTTTTGACGCCTGTCAGGTGCAGACGTCTCCTGCTGCAGGTGTTCAGACATGATTTTTTGTGTAGATGGAAGGCAGTTGGATAATTTTAAGTGAGAGATCAATATTACGTTGCTTTAATTGATAAGGAAAAGGCTTTTTATTGAGGCCTGTGAAATAGAAAAGGGATGGATTGGCAACAGGATTTTCAACGAATTTTCCGTGAAGAACTGCAATCGACAATATAATTATCTGCTTGGAAAAAGATAAAAGATACCGACTCGACTGTTAGAAAAAAGTCCGGGCAGACCTAAAATTGCACCCACACAGGAAAATAAAGCTGCTGTAGAAGCCATGGCCATTTTACAAGAGGATCAGCCTGCACCTGCATCTGCCGGCATGGCATGATTGACTTAAAATTTTTATTTTTACGGTGTGCCAAAACTAAAGCCTAGATTACATTTGAAATGCAATGCCCACACGGTGCACGTATAAGGCCCGTAATACCCATTTCGTTCGGCGTCTGAGCGGAGGTAGACGGTGGCCGTGCGAAATCGCACGGAATCGTACGGATTTAAGACCATGTAATGTAGACATACTCGGCGTAGCCCGTAGCTCCTAACGATTTCAAAAAAAAAATGTACGGACAATTTCATCTCACGGCGCAAAATGTTAAAATCCAATAACGCAAACTGTTGTCTGATGCACAAAACAATTGTCCTCACTGGAACCATCTTCATATGACTACCTGAGAGCCTTATTCTCACTTAAAACATTAAACCTATACATTGCCTCAGACTATCTATTACCAGACGTGAGTCATCAGTCGCAGCAGCTTCTCACTTTACCTCCTGATATGAAACCTCTGAACTTTTCTTACAAATCAGTGGGCTGGGAACCGAAATATCACGTTTTGATCCAGTTGATCTACAGACCTAGGGGCGTATTCCCAGAGCTTTTAGATCGATCTATCCCCGCGGGGAGTCTCACTAGATTACTGTCAGATAATCCTTCTTAAATGTCCGTCCCGTCTACTACAAGCTGTAAGAGGGTAATTAACTTTCGTGCCCGCTCTTCTGACAGCTATTTAGCGTGAACCCCCAAGGAGTTAGGTCGATCTAAAGTAGATCGATCTAATCTCTGGGAATGGGGTCCTAAACGCAGAACTCATGACGCATTCAAGGAACACCTTCAGATCATCAAATTGGCGTTCCACGCACACCGATAAGAGACGCGATTAAAGCCTCGGTCACAACCGGACGCACGAATTTCAGGATCGTACGACCTCTGCGATTTTTAGGTGTTGCGGAGGCTGTGGAGGTCGTAGAGGTAGAGGAAAATCTGTCTTGCGAGTCGCATGGGCCACATGAGATGTCCTTTCAAGCAGGGATGCTTATTGCAAGGAGCGCTGGCCGTGGAAATTGTACTTTTGAGTTTGTCTTGCTTCCTGTGTACAAGGCACACACTCACCACTTACGAAGGGGATGCAACGCACGGCGAAAGTAGTGCCCTTTTGCGTCAGTTTTGCTTCACACTTGCCTCACACGTTTGTGGTGACGTACTGACGGCGTACGTCAGCTTTGC